CTTGAATCCTGTCTACACTGGGTCCAAGGACTGACTGGTCACTAGACTTAAGGCCAAAAAGAACACCAGTTATTTACTTCCAGTTCAGTGTCGTTTTTTATGGTTTTGTGAAAACAACGTTCATCAGTGTGGCCTCCCAGTTCACTCTGGGAGCTGACCAGTCCGGAGCCATGCAAACAGAGGTCAACCAGAGGCAGGAGGAGAGCAGGATTAAGGAAGGCTTCCAGAGTAGATTCTTGTCATGTTTCTAGAAGAAGGCATAATAGCAAGAACAGAAGTCTGGATGCTTCTGGAGGATGGCAAGGCACATCTGCCTCATCCACAGTGGCAAGCCAAGGGCCAGTCAACTTAAAGACATTAAGATTTATTATTTATGTGTACATATGTACCTGTACATGTATATGTGTGAGGGTGCCCACAGAGGCCGTAAGAGGGCATCAAACCCCTTAGAGCTCAAGTTAAAGATGGTTATGAGCCATTGAATGCGCTGGGAGCAGAACGCTGGTCTTATAATGGAACAAGCACTGTTAACCACTTAGCAAGCATGTGGGGTTCAGAGGACTTGTGGAAGTCACTTTTCTCCTTCTACCATATGGATTCTGGGGGATCAAACTCAGGTTGCCATGCTTGGTGGCATGTGTCTATCTGGTGAGTCATTCTTGCCAGTTCAGGGCCAGCCAACTCCAGACGCTGTGCTGAGTCCTTGACTACACAGTGAGCTCTGTTGCTTTTGGAACGTTCTGCCAAGATGGTCTAGGTGAGGCTGCCGTGGCTTTCTTGACCACTTTGACCTTGTCTTCACAGATACTGCCCTGATGGGGCAGGACAGGGACAGGGAAAGCGTGTGGGTAGAAGTTGGAGGAGCCCTGGCCCCCAATACCTCCTCCCTGTTTCCCCCTGAGCCTCCGGGGGCCTCAAGCAACATCATTCCTGTCTACTGCGCTCTCCTCGCTACTGTGGTCCTTGGTCTGCTGGCCTATGTGGCCTTCAAATGGTAGGTGGTCTGGGTACTGCCCTGCGGCATCTCCTCTATACCTGGACTCCGAGCTCCTGGTCTTAGTACTCCCTGCCCTCTGCAGCTGGCGCTCACATAAGCAAAGACAACAGCTGGCCAAAGCTCGGACTGCAGAGCTAGGGGACCCTGACAGGGACCAGCGGCATGGTGACAGCAGTGTCTTTGTGGACTCTCCTCATTGTCTGGAGCCCTGTATCCCCAGCCAGGGTGAGTGAGCACCTTTCCTCAGTCAGTACTCCTTGGTATTTAGCTAGTGTACCCCACCACCCACTAACGAATCTTGTATCTCCCACCCCAGGACCACATCCTGACCTTGGGTGCCGACTTTACCTGCATATTCCGCAGCAGCAGAAGGCGGAGGTTGAGCGGCTCTTGATGCTGGGTGAACCTGCCAAGGGCTGGCAGGGGCTGGCAGGCCACCTGGGCTACCAAGCTGAGGCCGTGGAACTCATGGCCCGTGACCAGGCACCAGCCTATGCCCTGCTAAGGGACTGGGCTGCCCAAGAAGGCAGCAGAGCTACCCTCAGAGTGCTAGAGGATGCCCTGGCTGCCATAGGCCGAGAAGATGTGGTCCAGGCTTTGGGCTCACCGGCTGAGGGCTGCTCTGTGGTGTGAGTGGCCAGCCCCAGGGCTGCCTACACTGGCAGGCCCTCCTTACCATCCTGACTGCCTCAGGTCCCCTTCACGGACTTCCTAGTACTTCTGGCTTCTGAAGTTCTGCAGAACACAGAAGATCCAGCCGCTTCATGTCCCTGCACCTTCCTCTCCAAGACGGGAAGCAGAAGATGGTGGGATGGGTAAGATCTGCCCACAGATCCCCATTCTGCCTCCCTTTATTTAGCTCTAGCTATTTTTTCTATTGTTGTTAAATCACATATTAAAGGCAACTCTGACTTGTATTCTGGTCTACTTAGCTCCTTGGGCCTATAAGACAGCTGAGTAGCTGTGAAATAGAGGCCCAGAAAAGGACTTGGGGAGGTCCACAGGCTATGGGGGACCCTCTCTAAGCAGCAGCTGGAATGGCAGACGCTTCTGTACATGGGCTGTGGAGGCACAGGCTGGAGTTCAACCTTCTGCCCTTCACTGTTTGGACCATATTAGGAAGCTACGTTTCCTCCTGAACTCCAGTTTCCTTTGCTTAGCTGGAGGCATGTTTAATAAGTCCCCTATCCCTGAGATTCCCATGGTGTGTCACAGGACCCTTTGTGTGACCTGGGCTGAGACAGGCAAGAGGCAAGGTAGTTGTAGTGTTGAGGTGTTGGACCTCAGGTCAGCTTTAGACAAGAAAAGGAAGACATTTCAACCCGGGACTCTGGGCTGAGGGTAGAGCTCATGGGAGAGCACTTATCTAGTACACATGAGGTCCTTGATTCAATCTCCAGAGCTACAACAAGCAAAAGCCAGACTGCCACCCAAGCAAAACATTCCAAACAGGCCTCCACAGCTGCTCATGTGCCTTGAACAGAGTGGGCAGGCAGGCTGTTCTGGATAGGGCAGCTGAGCCAAACCACCTGTACTTCCATACACACGCCCATCCTAAAGTGGGAACAGGCAGCTGGGTTGCTTTGCCTTCTGAAGAGCCGCTCTGCAGGTGACCTCGCCTAAGAAGGACGAGTGCACATGGATTAGATGGCTTTAGGTTCATCCAGACTCTCTGAGAAGACCTGGGGTCCAGTCAGGGTGAAGTGGAGCCCAAAGCGGATCTGACTCCCTCACTGCCCTGAGATGCCTGGCGTTGGTTACTTAGTGAGCATGAAGCTAACACAGGCCGCTTCTACAGCTGCTCCTCAGAGGTGGTTGACCAGATAGAGCTGCTCATCAGCCTGTCCTTGTTAAAATGAACGTCAGCCAAGCGTGGCAGCTCCCATCCTTAATCCCAGCGCTCAGGAGGCTGAGGTAAGATCATCACAGGCTTAGCCAGGTGGTGGGTGGCACACGCCTTTAATCCCAGCACTCAGGAGGCAGAGCCAGGCAGATCTCTGTGAGTTCGAGGCCAGCCTGGTCTACAGAGCAAGATCCAGGACAGGCACCAAAACTACACAGAGAAACCCTGTCTCGAAAAAACAACCCACCCACCCCCAAATCACAGGTTTGATGCCAGCCTGCCCTATGGTGAGAACATCTCAAAATAAATAAAAAATAAAAAGTGGGGGAGGGTATGTTACCTTCATCCTAAAACGACCCTAAAGCTAATCCCCAAGGATGAGGACAAAAACCAGAGAAGGTCCAGACTAGCATTTGGGGAACATCACACTCCTCTTCAGCAGAGTCAGCTGCAGGGCCACCAAGGACTGAGTCAACAGGAAGATTTTTCGTGAACAGACTGGCACACTTTCGCCCAGCCTAGGTAATGTGGACATGAGGGAATATGGGGAAGATGAAGACATTTGGGGTTAAAAAAAAATATCAAAAATTTCTAAACCTTTACAGCTAGTTACCACTCTAGTTACCTCAATTTCCTTGGAAAACCATGAACACTCATGATAGCAGACACACTAGAAAATGTCGAGGGCTGAGTGAATTATGGTCCACTTATGTGCTTTAAAGTTATGATGGCTTACAGTATTTTGAGAAAAAGGCTGTAGATCATTAGTTAGTCCTTGACATCCTGTGTTCACACTCATGCTTTGTGTAGCAGTGGCATGCTATTAGGTACTGGAAGCAATCCAGAGACAACTGATATGTGTCGATGGGCTATTGGTAAAAACGATGCCATTTCATTTAAGGTACTTGAGTATCCACACATTTGTAGCCAATCCCCAGAGGTAGTGAGGGAAGACTTGCTACACAGCACATATGACCAGAAAATAAGGATTTCTGCCCTCTGCTACAGGATTGTAAGTGACGCTTGCTTTGCCAGTTTCTGTAAGAGTTAAATGAATCTTCACTCATCTCTGAAATGCTGAGCACAGGCACTGGGTGCTCTAACTCCTGGCAGGCCTCAGCCCGGCCTTGTCTTCCTCTTCCTCCAAGAGAGCACTGCAGTGACAAGAATCGCTCTCCTGAGGGACAGGTGGGCCCCCATTTAGTATGAACTTCCGCCCTGCCCAGCAAACTCAGCACCAAGAGACCACTGCTGAGGCCGCACCCAGAAGGCTGCTCCCTGTCACCACAGGGCAGCACCATGTCCCTCCTCCTGTCCCTGTTGCCTCCCTCCAGTGTCAAGTAACGAAGTGGGAAGCCAGGACCCAAACATTTCTCCCTAACTGTGGGCTGGAGAAATGCAGGAGAGTATTTTACCTTGTGCTACTTTTGTTTACACTGCATTTGTTTTGAAGCTGTGTACTGTGCCTGTGTAAAACACCCAATGGTCTAATAAAGACCTGGCCAATAGCAAGGCAGGAGAAAGGGTAGGTGGGGCTGGCAGGCAGAAAGAATATATAAATCTTGGAGGAAGAACCAGAGGAGGAGGACATCGGGGGCCAGCCACCCAGCTACACAACCAGCAACGGAGTAAGATTTACAGAAGTAAGAGAACGGGAAAAGCCCAGAGGCAAGAGGTAGACGGGTAAATGAAGTAAAGGAAAGCTGGCAAGAAACTAAGCCAGGCTAAGCCTGGGCATTCCTAAGAATAAGCCTCCGTGTGTGATTTACTTGGGAGCTGGGTGGTGGATCCCTCCACCCCCCCCCCAAAAAAAAGAGTGAAAACCAACAACAGAAATGAAGTCTGAAGGCAGAAAGACCCAATAACAAACATTCTCTGGCCAGGAGATATCAAAGAAAAGACATTTGGTTTTCCTCTCGACTGGCCCACTAACCAAAACCAAACAGCCCAGTGGCAATGAGGTCTCAGGTCATGTTTCCTCTGCTCCAGAATTTGACTGACTGTAAACTGCCTCATGCAAATGTCTGCCTGGCACACAGTGGGACCTGTAGGGCAAAGCCAGTACTAAAAGGCAGCAGCAATGATTCACCTTGGACTCCACACACCAGTGGCCACTGCATCCTTTTTCTCTCCAGCAACATCAACACAAACACACTTAGATTAAGTTTTAGGGAACACACATTGCAAGTTCTTTAATTGATTTTATTTTTTACATAAAAAGTTCAGTAAAAATTGGATAAAGTAAAGTGATCTTAAGCAGTAAATCAATCTTATCAACATAGCACAAGGCTGGCCAAAACCACAAGGCAGCCTGCTTTGGAATATTTACATGATAACAAATTAAACCTTGCAGGAGAATTTATACTGTCCTTACAAAGTCTTCCCATGATTCTAGCACATAGAGGCTAACGGCAAACAAAAACTGAACAAAAACCAGGAAAAACAAACAAATTCTTTTCAATATATTCACATATACATTAAAATATAATACAGATCATCAGGGTAAGGGTCTTGGGGGAGGGTGCGCATGGGTCTGTGCGCTGACAGCACCGCCAAGGGGGAGACCCAGGTCTGAGAGCGGGGTCGGGTGTGGCCACGGTCTTCCCTAGGCTACTGCCTCCGATGGCCTTAACTGTTACATCCAGCAGCTCACAACTAGGGGTCGCTTGTAGACAGAGCTCATTTTTGTGCCTTACAGTTGACTCCTCCAAGGTTTGAACTGCTCAGGATGATGGGTCGTCACACCGGTAGTGCAGGCCTGGCCATGGGTAGGGCAGAAGCCACAGGATCCATCCTTTCTGATCACACTCCTCACTCTGGCCCCGCGCGTCACTCTAATTCAGTGTCCTCCTTAGGTTTGTAAACTGCCCCAAACTTCTGCATGTACTTCTTAATGTACTCCTTGGTTTTGTGTTTCACATTCTCATTGCACTCCAGGTCCTCGGGGTTCTTACAGTACTTCAGCTCCTTATTCATAACTCCATGAGTCAGCTGTCCGAGGCACAGGAGGAGAGACCACAGATACCATCAGAATGGAAAACGGCTGACAGGGAGGAGGACAGGCTTGGAAGGAAATCACAGGGGAGGGGTTGGGGCAAGCTGCTACAGGGTCAGAGGAGAAACCCAGCTTTCAGAGTCTCTTAGGTGCCCACTTTCCCACCTCTGAACCTTGCCTCACAGTCCTGGGCCCCAAGCCTTGGCATCTGGCACATAAAACCACACTTTTTGATGAAGGAGAGGATCTAAGAAGGCACATGACAGACCGGGAGCAGGGGAGTACCTTTCGAGCAAGGTGTTTGAAATCCTCAGTCGTGGTGATTCTGCCCACCTTGCAGTCAGGTTTCCGGTAAGGATTCAGGCACTGGACAATGAACTGAGACATCTGCAGACAGAAGGTAGGAGACATGCTGCTCAACTGTGCTGATGGGATCACTAGAAAAGGCAGCAGAAAGCTTCCCTGCTAGTCCCCGTTTCCTCCCTCAGGTGCTCATCTAGCCAGCAGAATGCTAGGAAGCCAGTAAGATGCAAGATAGTGGTCCTGGCCCATCCCTGACAAGAGCCTCCTTAGCCAGACCAACCAAACCTCACTTCGAGAGGTTGCAGGCATTCTGGGAATAACCTCTGGTTTCACACTAAAATTCAAACATTGCCAAGGTCACTGTGTTAAGTTTGGGGTCTACAGGAGGTAATTAGGCTGCAAGGGCCTCTCCCACCACAAACAGAGCTGCTTGTGCCTGGGCCACAGCTCAGTTGGTAGAGTGCTTGTCTAGCACTGTGGACTCCTATGAAGAGTTAGTGGCTAGGTTCTCTGGATCCTGGAGGCAAGGCAGGGTAGAGTAACAGAGTACTCCTCTACCCCAGGATTGCAGGTAGGCATTTTGCCTGTAAAGGTTACTTCAAGCCTGTAAGTATTACATGTTTATTCATGAACCACAACCACCAAAAGCATATGGAAACATGGATGAAGGATGATGCTGGGCAGGGCTCTTCAATCCACCATCTCCAATGTCGTCCTCTGGGCTGTTTCTGTAAGGTTTATCCTACCCAGTAGCTCTTAAAAGAGGCCTCAGGATCAGGACTTCTGCAAGTCCTTATGGCATAGGGTCCCGGGAAAGGGAAGAAAAGGGACTACTGACAGCTACTTCAAAACTCTATGACCTTTAAACCATTCAAGGAACGAGGCAGATCACACATCGGATTGGTTGAGCTGAAACACCAACACCATACATGGACAGTGAGGACCGTTATGCCTATACAAGTTTTTTGGTTTAGCTGCCACAACTGGCGTCCATATTTTCCCCCTTTCAACCCACTCTTCACTTAGTCAAGGCTTTGATTATTCTCAGGTTGGAATCAGTGGTTCCCTAAACCCACAAACACAAAGCCAATACATGAAAGGGCACAATACTATCCAGCCTATGTCCAACACCCCTCACATGGCCAGTGCTCAGGAGAGAGGACTA